TAGTTTGGTGCAATTTTATTTATTTAAATAAAATTGTAATATTAGTGTAATAATACATTTCTCGTCTTTTAATAAGTCAAAATGAAGATTTGTTCAATTTAATATTTTGCATCTGGTGCACACAATGAAAAGACTCTTACAAAGATTTGCAACAATCGTCTAACCCACATATTTATAATGAAAACATGTGTTAGACTATTTTTACAAATTTCTGTTTTCATATTATTTGACGAATGTGGTTTAGAACTTAGTTCACAAACGCCTCCATGAGTATGGATATGGCTTATATCATTTTTGCTTGATGTAGTATGCATTATGATGGACAGTTTGACACGTCTAACCTCATTTGTAAACAAATGTGGGTTAGACGGTTGTTGCAAAACACCGTCCTTAGTCTTAGGCTGTTTGAGCCTAAAGATTTGTTTATTTAGATTCCTCCTAACTAAATTATAATGGGAAAAAATTGAATTGTTAAGTGGGTGTCTGTAACAATAAGTGTTATATTTTTTATTAGCTAAGATGACATATTTAAAAAAAAATCGATACGATATTACTGTGGGCGTCGAAATGCAAGAAGATTATTTTATGATTAGAGGGCAGCTATTCTCAAAATCTGGACAATTAATTTCAGAGCGAAGAAGTCTGCTGGAAAATAATGTACAAAATATTTTATTTTTACATTGTACTATGAACATGTGTCAAATGTGTTTTTTTAATGAATATTTTGATTCGGTATGTATGTTTATGGTATTGTTCGTAATGCGCATAAGTCCAGTTTTTCAAATTTTTATTACATATTTTTGTGCGTCTTATAGAGTCTTTAAGCATATACCCGAACTACTATACTCGCTAAAACGACACTCAGTCCTAACTGCAAGACGCAAGAGTCTCGCAGGCTTAGTCTTGTTCTTGCTTAAATCTTGCAAGGTCAGTCTTGGTCTTGGTCTTGCTAAAATTAGGCGGTCTTGGTCTTGGTCTTGCAAAAACGCAAGAACAAGACCAAGACTGCAAGACCAAGACCGATTTTGGGCAACACTACATACACCTGATTCTTTTTTTGAGTTGCCTGTGTGCATTCAACATCATACCATTCTGTCCCATTCCTTTCTTGTTTCTTCTTTCCTAAAACTGTTGTTGCTACTTCTTTCTGGATATTTTCGCACTCATTTAAGTAATTATCTATGTTTTCAACAGTACTACTCATTTAGTCTTCTAGTTTTTCTTTAAGTTTGTAAATTTTCTAACTATCTCAGGGTTTCGTAGTCTGTCTACCTCGAATTTATCTTCTTTGCTTCCTTTACCTTTTTTGCGTTATAGATTTATGCCCTTAGTTTAGCCTGGGCCAGGTAGTGATCTGAGTCAATGTTTGCTCCACGTCTGGTACGTACATTCATAACATCGCTGTAATGTCTTGCGTCCACAACAACATGGTCAATTTGATTGATTGTGTTACCGTCTGGGCTAACCCAAGTGCCTTTGTGTATATTTTTACGCTCAAAGCATGTGCTGGCTATCACCATATTCATTGAGGCCGCAAGGTGTATTAAGCGTGTTCCATTGTTGTTCGACTCGTTATGGAGGCTATATTTTTCAATGGTGGGTAGGTAATCGTTTTCTTTTCCTATTTTGGCGTTGAAATCTCCAAGTACTATTTTTATATCATTTCTAGGGCAGTTCCGTATTATTTCTTCCAGTTTTTCGTAAAATTCATCCTTTTCTTCGTCTAGCTTATCTTCTGTGGGTGCATGGGCATTAACTACTGAATATTTGAAAAATTTTCCCCTAATTCTTATTTTGCATATTCTGTCGCTTATGGCTTCGAAGTCTATTACTAGGTGCTTCACTCTGCTGCTGACTATGAATCCTGTTCCAAGTTTATGCTCTGTTGGGTGGCAGCTATAGTACATTGTATATTTTTTTTCTCGAATATTTTTTTCCCAACCACCTAACTTCTTGAAGCGCTATGATGTCTATGTTATATTTATCCAGGATGTCAAGGAGTTCCCGCAATGCTCTAGTTCTATATAAGGATTTCACATTCTACATACTTAATTGTAACTCTTTGTACTTTTTCTCGCTAAGTCGTCGTCTAGATTTCAGTCCGGAAACTTTACCTTGAATTCTCGTAACATGCTGTTTTTACGGTGTAGGGGTGTTAACCCTACGCCCAACCCCCAACCTGGAGGACTAGTTCACCCAACCTGGAGGACTAGTTCACCCGCTCTCGTCAATTTCCGACCCAACTTTCCACCCGGCTTGGATACCGGATCTCCAGTTGGTTTGCTTGGTTTAACAGGGGGTACCAGCGCGAAGGTGAAAGTCGGATTTGAAGTGAAGTAAACTGGAAGCAACTCCATGTTTTCGCATTCTACCCATTTACCCCCCTGCTTATTGGATTAAATATTATATTTCTGATCTTTTTCAGATTTTTCATTATGGTGCGCCATCTTCAAAATTTTGAAAAACTGGTTTTTTTTGGTTTTGCGGATTTTCTCCATTTTATAGACTTCAAAAATAGATTATATCAAGGTTTTTATAGGTTATATATATTTTAAATTAAATGAGGTCTTTACAACGTTAAAAAATTGGACGAAACATCATTTTTAGGGGCTTTGGTGGGGTTAAAAGTATTTTTGGAGTTCGATGCAACCTAAATAATTTATTTCATTTTTACGTATTGGCGCAAATTTAGCCCGATACCCCACAACTACTATTAAAACACAGTTTTTTGAATTTTTGAAGATGGCGCACCGTATGGAAAAATCTGAAAAATCAGGGAAATAGTTTTTGATCAAATACACAACTTAAAAAAAATAGACGTAAAGCCGCCTCCAAAGAAGTTTGTGGGGTAGCCCTGAGAAGAGGGGCGTAGCGGGCAAAAATTACGCTGAGACTTATTTTTTAATCACATAGAATGTAAAAAAATGACAAGAAAAAATTGAATTCTGGGAGTGAAGGCATTTTGCGTATCTTAACAGGGGGTACCCTTTGCTTTCACATATAATCCACGTATAAGAAAAACGTAAATTTTAATTTAATTTGGAATTTAGTCATGTGTAATGCGCTGGTGCTCGTTCATACATTTACCAAAATATGTGATGTAAGTTTGAAAGAATATCGTCTAATAATTCATTCATGTCAATTTAGCAGTCACTCGAAAAATATTCTATGGTTTTATATTCCATCCAGTAAATGGGGTACATGATGTTCTTTTTTTAATTTAATTTGAATTACGGAATAGAGTTTCATAATTCTGGGATGCGTATCTTGAATTAATAGAAAACATACACTAAGCCAATTGGCGCAATATCTACGGCCACGAATAAAAGAGAGAGTTACTCCATATCCATCGCTCCACCGCGCTCCAATGCTCCAGACCATCCCTTTCCCCCTATAGCACTCTGCCGTGCGGTAGGGGCACACTATCAGCCAAATGCTCTTTATGTGGGAGTTCGGAGTACAAAAACTCTAACATGGTTCTCCAACCCAATCAAATGCAAAGTAGCGTTAGGCGCTTTATTTCTGCAATCCTCGTTTGACTTATCCACGAATCTGTAATTTCGTGATCGGTCCTTAAGTCTTCGTTCCGGGCTACGCCTAGTTTGAATACTTTGTGCTCGAGGGGTTGAAATACTCTCTGCCATACGTACTTCTAAAACTACTACACTGGCAAGCAGCACACTGGTTGTTTCCATGATAACACTAGTATGAGTCATATTCCCAAACTTAAGTTTGTTGCAGTCATACCATACCTGTTGATTGATAGTGACTTAATGAAAATTTCATCCTCTATATCTAATGAAGTTAATTAAGGTAATCAATACAGAGATACTGTATATACCACTCTTCCGAAATTTGTTGTTGATTATTATTTTGTGTATAAATCAATGAGACTTACATAGTGACAATTGATCCACTAAAAAACAATAATTTTATTAAAAAAAAGGTCGATAAAAATTTAATATTTAATTTTTTTTGTGGTAATTTTTATTAATTATAAATAAATTTCTTCTTTTTCAGTCATTTTAGTGAAAATAACGTCAGAGCAATGGACGAAACTTGGTACAAGAGAGCTGTCGACCAGCATTCTATAGAGCCAGAAAGTTTTGTTTTTTCTGTGCCTTTTGATATTGGATCGTATGGAAAACCTTTAATAACAGCCACACATGCTGTTTTTGTTGAGCATAAAGGCCATAGGGCACCTGCTGCCGTTGTGGGATTGCAGTACCAGCATTCCACTTTGGCCTCACACTTTTTTAATATAACATCCAAGGTAAGAAAATTGTACTATTATTCCTAAAATATTATAATTCATATAAAGAATAAGTTAAAACGAAAAAAGTGTAACATAGTTTCGCATTTTGTTTATATAAAATATGTTTAATAATTTGAATCGAGGACATTCATAAATATACTCGAATTAGAATTTGTAAGTCAGCACTATTGCCAATCACGACATACGGTTGTCGTAGGTCGTTAACAAACTTGACACACTAAGAAATAAACTGCTGATATATGCAAGGCCTACTATAAAAGCGACAACAATCATTATCTCAGAGATCAGAACTAATTTAACGTCAAGATGGCAAGCTAATGTATCGCGTATTGATAATTATGAGGGAGTCTCATATCAACTTCACATAAGTATGAACTACGATTAGACTAAGTAATGTTAAGTCAAAGTGTACTGTTGTGTTTTAAAGAAATGGTCATATAATTTAACAACCCGTTACTTACCATTACGACTTTATTGACCATACAATAATACGATTAATAATATCAAATAGTATTATCTTTTTATTTTACTTTACCTTGTTAAAGATTTTATCAATTATAGCAATCACAAATTATTGATTGAATAAATGAAAACTTGTCAATGATTGAGAACTTGATGAACCAGTTACCAACATGTAAAAGTTCACAGTCGTTGCTTTTTTAGGAGAATTGATAATTTTTGTTGTTGATAATACAGTTTAAATCTTGTTTTTTTTTAATTACAGTGCACAGGATCTTCTTCTTGCAAAAAGACATGCGCAAGTGATAAGCTCGATTGCTACGTTTTGGATAATAACGGTTTTATAATTATATCTGAAAATAACGATGACACCGGTCGATTTTTTGGCCAGATAGATGGAACTATTATGGACTCTTTAGTTCAAGATAGAATTTACGTAAAAGTACCAGTATACGATTATCAGGGAGCTTGTTCTAATAGTAAATTTCACTTTAGTGGAAGTTCCAACAAATTATCGGTTAGTATTTATTTTTTATGTTAAATTTAATTATAATTACCACTTTATGTATGCTGTGTATACTAACGGTTAAATAATCAAACAAATAAAATTGTTAAAAGCTACTGTCGTTTCTTCTACGAAGCGACCATTATACAGGGTGATTATTAAGAATGTCCAACCTCTGAGTTCAAGAGTCTACACCTCTGAATATGATGATTTTGCCCAATATGCTATATACAAATTTTGCTATAATATGCTAATATCATATTGTACATTTTCATAATTTCTATTTAAAAATTGGCAATTTTACGCTTTTTGACATGAGGATTGCCAAGTTAGACTTTTATTTCCTATTCGTGATCGTATTTCAACTAGGGATGGGAGCGTACGTGATTTTTCATTCCGGTTCACGGCCGCTCATGGTTACGTAATTTTACTCACGCACGTGAGTTCCTAAATTGAGTCCCGCTAACAAACACGTCATTCGCGAATAGATTAAAAAAATCTTTATGTCTTAATAGTCTTGCTGTTCCGCTTTTAGTTCTAACATATCGCAGTATCTTTATAATCTTTCAAACTATTAATTTGCAATTCACCCACACCAGCTTTTGCATTTTTATGTTTATAAAATTTATATCTTTCATTCAAGATTTTTTGCAAAGTTTTTTTCAATGTCCCTTTGGATTTAATTCTTATTTTTCTTCTTTTTATGTAGATAAGACTGTATATTTTCAATGTGCCCCAGTAAGTTGTCGTTCCATTGGTTTCTTGTTCTTCCTACTGATCATCTTGTTCTCCACCTTGCATCTACGTCGTATATCTGTACTTCTAGCTCTGTCCCATAGTGTCTTACCATCAATTTTTCTAAGTGTTTTCATCTCTGCTGTTTCTAACATCCTTTTTCTCTTCTCTGTGTCAGGTCTTGTTTCTGCCGCGTATGTCATTATTGGTCTGATGACTGTTTTGTAAATTCTGCCTTTCGTTTCTTTCCCGATATTTTTACTTCTTCATATTGTTTCATTTAGGCAGGTCTGTGGGTCTGTTTACTCTATTCACTTGATCTTCCACCTCGGTTTCGAACTTTCCGTAGCTGGATAGTGTGATGCCTAGATATTTAAACTCCATCACTTGTTCTATTATCTGACCTTTCAGCTCCAATTTACATCTTAGTAAATTTGCTGTTGTAACCATGCATTTTGTTTTTTTGGGGAAATTAACATGTTAAATTTTCTGGCGGTTATATTAAATTGGTGCAACATACGTTGTAAATCATCTTCACTTTAGTAGTATTCCGTCGTTTGCATAGCAGATTATTTTAAGTTGTTTTTCTCCCATTTGGTATCCTTTTTAAGTTCTTACTTTTTTTATTATTTCATCCATAATCAGATTGAACAATAGGAATTCAGGACATCTCCCGGTTTTATCCCATTGCCAGCTTCAATACGGTCAGTTAGTTCTTCTACTTTTACTTTTATTGTGTCGTTTTGGAAGATATTTTCGATCGTTTGCTAATTCCTAAAGGTATCCTCTTCTGTACAATAAGTATACAACGTCCATTAATTTGACCTGGTCAAATGCCTTCTTAAGGTCCACGAAACAGATATGTCGGTTTGTTGTATTCTAATGATTGCTCTTGCACTTGTCTCATTATAAATATAACGCCGGTGCATGATCTTCCCGACCTAAAACATTTGTTGTTCTTCTACTAGTATTTACCATTTGAATCAGTTTATTTGCTATTACTTTTGTTGTTAATTTTAGTCTTGTGTCTAATAAATAATGCCTCTATAATTTTCCGGGTTCGATTTGTCTTGCTTTTTGAAGAGAGGTATAAGAATGTTTGATCTCCATTCTTGAGGAATTAGGTTTTGTTCTATTATTTTTTTCATTAGTTTTAGTAATTATTTGGTCAGATCTGGTTCTCCGAGTTCGTTCGATATTCTGTCCTCTCCTGGTGATTTTCTGTTTTTTAATTTTCCTTCACCTCTTCCTCCTCAATATTTTGTTCTTCGTTTGCCGTCACCTCTGGTGTTGGTGATTCAATATCGTCATCTTTCGCAAATAGGGATCGAAAGTAGTCTGCCCATGTTTCTTTCTGAATGTGTTTTATGTTTATTGGCTCGTTCTTCTCTTCTCTTTGTTCCTTGATCCTTCTCCATATTTCTTTGTGTGTTTTATCTGTACCAATGCGGCTACCTTCTTTTTGTACCAGTGTCTTCAATTGCGGTATTACCAGAGAACTACGAAAGTTCTCTGGTATTACTGCAAATACGGCAACAAGTCAAAGAGGCACATCGAGCATTTCAAGCCCCACTAATAGTCTGTATGCGCATTAAGGCTCGTGTGGCTTGCAATGCTCGTTGTTCTTGTTGGCTCGAGTGACTCAGCCAGTGACTTGCATTTGCAAATGAACAAGTAATTTAAAAGGTAGGGCTTTGTATGCTCGTACACCCGTAAACCCGGAGAGGGCATACGAGCTTCATAAGCACGGCAAGCCTAGATCAACGTGAGTGGTCCGTACACGCCTTTAATAAGTGAACCAAAATAAATTCGACGATGTAAGTCAATCACCAAACGCTTTAAAACAAAAAAAAAATCATCACTGGGACGGTTAAAGATATTTTGTGTGTAATAGACTTTTTGTCTAATCAACTATTATTTAGAATTAGAATTTAATTAGAACTAATTAACTATTATTTTTAGATATTTAGTCCAGTCAACACGGTTTTTGGTTGTATAATTCAAACAATATTTTCTCTTCTGGTGAATTTAAATAAGGCTTACACGAATGCTTTAGCCTATAATCGAGATGAGAGTGGTAAGTCCTAAAAAGCAATAATAATGTATTTATTTGTTATTAGATCGTTTGGGAACATCTATAAACGACGTTATAAAAAATGTTGACTTTTTAATACCCCGCTCCCTTACGTCACAAAGTGTCGTTTACAGTTGAGGCCCTCCCTCGACGTCGCAATTACCTCCCTTTTAGTGATTTTTTTAAATTCAATGTTATTTCTGGATTTTTTAAAATTGACTATAAAACTGTGTTTACGGATTTATCATAAAAACTAGTAAAAAATTATATTTATCGAGATAATAGCGACAAATTGAAATACACCAAACGAGGTCGGATGTAAACTCATGCCCCCTCTCCAACCTCTTATCGTATATCAATGTAATAAGCAAAGTCTCCCCCTCTCTCAACGACGTAGTTAATAGATAATCCTTTTCTTTTATATTCACTGCTTGCTATTTTAAAACATTTTGTATATTTTCAGTTCTTGCTCAATTTTTTAGTAGATACTAACATCTTATTAATATCTATATTTGTTAAGCAGTTTATGAACTGCTTATAACATCAAAAAGCAGCAGTATAATTTTAAAAATACACTAATATCCCCACGTATTTAATGCTCAATTAATTAGCTAAACTACGGTGTTTAAAAAATTTTAAGTGACACTTCTTTATATCTTATAATTATAATGTAGTGTTTTATATAGTTCTTTAAATATATCTTTGAGATATAAACGCCGAGTTGTGACAAAATTGCTTCAAGTTGTAACGGAAATCAGCTCAGGCAGTCAAAAAGAAAAAGATCAGGTGGTAATAAGCTGGTCGTACACAGAAACATTACACTGACACTATATATTTTAGGGCGTTTCCTTCATAAATACTTTTGAATGACATGTATTTTTCCTTATTTTCCATGTTTTGCCTTATTAATAATCCCTCCATATCCTGTTCATTGCCATAGTCCCATTATCCTTTGATCCATCTCTGCTGATTGGCGCAAGTTTGAGAGTGGGTCTAGTTCTCTTTTGTTCGGTTTTATCTCCATAGTCTGCCATCTATTATCTTCCGAAACCTCCATTTTTACTATTTTACCTTCTCTTTGGGTCTCTTGTGCTTTTTCTTTATTTCCTCTTGCGTTCTTTCCTCAGTTATTGTAAATCCATCGTTTATGTAATTTTTTTCTTCTTTAAAGTCGTTTAATTTTCTTTTATTGCTCATTTCTTCTTGGTTTTCTAGCTACAGCAGACATGCTCTCCTCTATCTTAAGAGCTAATTTAATCCCTAGCTATATCTGTAAAGTTTCCTCTATCATTTTTCTCAAGGTCGATTTCAGCCTATATCTATATTCTATAGTCTATATCCAAACCTGTTACTATTACGTTATCCTTTTTTTCTCTTTCTCTAGGTACTCAAGTCCGGTACTTAATTCAAGAACTTTCACACTGAAACACCCTTCTGCATAATTTCTTTGCTCTCCATTATTTTAATATCCTTCATGTCAAGTCCAACTGTTTTAGTATCTCCATCATTTCGTCTTTTATTTCGACTTTACTTCCCTTTATTGGCGTTCTATCTACCTTTCTACTTTTCTTAAAGCCCTCTTTCTCACCCTCTTCATCTCCTCTTTGCAGTTTTTTGCCCTCATCCGTCAGTTCGTCGGATGCATTTTAAATTTTGCTTCGCTCTCCCCGGTACTTCAGTTGCTCGATGATAGCGGAGAGTTCCCCCGCTTCAACCGCTTCGATAAAAAACTCTTATTCACCTTATCACATTAGCTTACTTATGTATATTTGTGTATAATTGTTCTTAAATCTATTCAAAAAAATATGTTTCACTAATCACCCTCTATCGCAGATCTTCGCAATTTCTTTTTCGTGTATCCATGCTCGCGACAGTCCGAAATTCAAATTTTACAGATTTAAGATGTAAGATTTTGAGCGATTGAAAAGTCACGAGTACAGTGTATCACAAGGAAAATTCATTTTAATGTGACTTTATTGTAACTATAAACAATGTATAGTTTCTACGATGTCAGTTGGACAAGTCATAAAAACAAAATTCGACACTCAAGTGTCGGCGTCTTTGTAAAACATAGGCGGCGCAATAGAAATTAAATAATAAACTTTTATTTTTAAATTAAGGTCTAATATTTTGTTAAACAGTAAGAATATTGTTAATTATTCACATTTCTTTATGAACTTGACACCAAAGATAATTAAAAGTTAATACACAATATAGTCCATTCACTAACGGTAAAATATTGTAAAAACCTCTAAATTTTAAAGAACCACTGGGATTGATATGAAATTTGTCATACACATATAGCTAACGTGTCAAAGAAAAAAAGTGATATTGTGCCGATGTGTATTTTTGCCCTGGGGGTGAGTACCGCACCTTCTTGGGGGGTGAAAAGATATACATCCAAAATAAGTCCGGAAGTGGATAAACTGACTAATTCTAGGTAACTTTTGTTCTATAGAGGTTTTTACTAAATCAATACTTTTCGAGTTATTTGCGAGTGAATATATTCATTTTTCATTAAAAACACCACGTTTTTGGACGATTTCTCGCAAATAACTCAAAAGGTAAGTATTTTATGGAAAAAATGTTGGTAGCAAAAATACAGTTTATAAAAAAGTGAAAACAATGGTATATGTATGAAGTCTGTATACCCAGCAGAAGCAGAGTTATAGCTAATGAAAAATAGATTCTTACCTATTCGTCAAATTCCATATCGAATAATTCAACGTGAAATAATCAAAAAAAATGTTTTTTTACTTTTTTTTTAATTGTTTAGAGAAATCTTTATTTTTGATTTTTAAAAAAGTTTCTAGCATCAAACGTAAGCAAGTTACGCTCAAAACAAAGTTGATCCCTTTTTTTGGTAAAAAATAATCATGAATATGATCTGTAAGTTTCATCGGTTTAAAGAGCTTATTTTTGAAAGATACTTACATGAAATCGGCCAATTCGTCTTACAGTCGAATCTTAGGTTATAGATTAATCGAGAGATCACATTTACTTCGATATACAGAACATATTTTTGACAAGTTGTGGAAGTCTTTGTAGAAATATTCAAACAATTAAACACTATCACTATCCGTGTGTCCAGAACTTGAGTCGTCGTTTGTGTTTATAACTACCGGTTCAATTGGTGGTAAAGTAGGATATTCTTTTTCTTTTACTTGAACATGCTACACAATTTTTCCAAATGTCAGTTTTGTTAAGTTCTTCGATCACTGTTCTTATAGTTTGGACAACAACGTCACTTAATTGGGGAGATTGATTCATTTTCCGCAATTTCTTTTTTACATTGGCCCATATCATTTCAATTGGGTTGAAAACACAATGATATGGAGGGAGCCGTAAAACCGTATGCCCGTGGCGTTCAAAGAGTTTATCTATTACATATTCTTTTTGAAAATTTTGTTGCTTAATTAATTGCAACAATTCCTTTTTGGTACATTTACTAGGTGTTGCCATGCATTTGTTCTCCATAAATTCTATGATATCTTCCTTCTTGGAGCTAGTATTTGGAATTTTGGTGTAGAGTCTAGAATGGTATGACGCATTATCCATTACTATCACGGAATTTGTTTTAATATTCGGTAACAGCTGTTCCGTTGCCAATTTTTCGAAAAGTTCAGCCGTCATATCCTCATGATAATCAGCTGATGACACTGTTTAATGTTTTTGGCCGATAATAACAAGGCATTAGGTACAAACCCGCTCTTAGTTCCAGCATGTAGAATTATAATTCTTTTTCCTCTCGAACAAGGAGTATTCAAGCAGCACTTTTTGCTATCATCCATCCAGCCATATTGAACTACATCATGGGTGCCAAACCACGTTTCATCAAGATACACAATGTGACTATTGTCATCTCGATATTCTTTAATGTATTTACAACTTATTTTCTACTGTCTTAACTCAAACTTAACTAAAACACAACACTACTGTTTGTACAAAAATATTAAAAATATACGTGAACTTGCTGTCGTACACGACGATACTGAATATATCGTTTAGTATGACAAACCTGAGAAGGCATTTTTGACCAGATAACGATCAAGTTTGAGCGTAATAACTTCCGAAGAATTTGACTAATTACACTTCAGTAGTGCCCGATAAGATACGTAGAAAGTAATAAACCACAGCTGCAATATGGACAATACCGTTAGTGATCAATTACAAATAATATTTATATTTCTGAATTATTGGGGACTGGACCCTAAAAATTCCTTAACTTTTATTGAAATTTAAAATTGATGATTAAAAGTATATACATACATAATGCAAATGAAATGTAATGTGCTTATTAATTTGAGAACTAAAAAATGAGTTTACAATTTTACTATAAAAATAAAATAATTTATATAATAAGTTTAAAATAAAATAAAATTAATTTATCACGACGACACTGTTATTGTGTTTATTTAAATGCTTGCCGCCTTTGAAACATGAGAAGCAATTTTTACCTGCTAACGGCAAAGCCAGATTTGGTTATAGTGTATGCACTTCCGAAAAATTTGACCAATTACATTTTAGTATTACCCAATAAGATACGTTCAAATTAATAAGCCACACCACTATCCATGTGGACTAATACCAGGAGTAATCAATAATTAGAATTACAAAGATTTATCTTTATTTCTATGTTCGCCGTAGAATTACTGACCGGACCCCAAAAATTGTTCTTTCCCAATTCATATCGTAACAACTTTACTAGCAATCGATTTGGTGATACCCCTCATGATTATGCACCATCACAAGCTGTAGAATAGGTTGAAAGCTTCCCTAATAAACTATGTATTCTCTACATAATATCTATAATGACAACAAATACCTTACTGACATATTTTTATCTTTTAAGATGATCTATTTGGCGTTTATTCCGATTATGAAATAGAACAGTACACAACTGGCGAAGAAATTACAGATGAACAAGACACAGTATTTTCTCCACCTTCAAACACTTACTCACCATCTTTTATTCCACCGTATGAGTCTGATCCTATGGAAGGCGTTGATGTCGGCATCAGACCTTGTGATCGGAAGGTGGACCTGTACATTTTACAACCAGAGAAGTTGAACACTAGTGGCCAAAGCAATCCTTTAAAAGGAAAGCTTACGAATTGTCATAGTAGCGGCTGTGAAAGGTAAGATATATAAAATTTATGTCATATTTATTATTTTTGATATATAGCTTTTTATTCTAATAATATTGTGTAATACCTATTTACATTCCATTGAATTAAACGCTAAATATAGTGAATGTCATTATTATTTTAAAACGTGTCCGTAGAGGTGCTTTTTATTCTCTATTTTTAATGTTCCCTTAAAATAAGTATGCACAGATTTTCCGGTACTAAGAGACACAGTTTTTATGGTTATACTGCCCACAAAATAACTATTTGACATTAGTTTAGTTTATTTTCCTATTTAATAAGTAATTACCCTAATAGCACACGTACGTCCAATGGACGTCCATAGTACGTCCCTCACGGACTTTAAGGACGTCCCTCGGACGTCCGCTTTGGTCCTATTTACGTCCGTTTTACGTCCTATATTGGTCCGAATGTCGCTGCGCCGAACGTCCTATGGACGTCCATTTTACGTCCCGAGCGGACGTTAGTTGGACGTACCGGGACGTTAATTGGACCTTAATCGGACGTCCATAATACGTCCGGAGGACTTACTTGACGGACTTTTGTGATGTTCTCGGACGTCTATTTTAGTGCTGAGGATATAAATTAGACGTCAACGCCATTGTATAAAATACTAAAAGTGGTGTCATCCTGTGCATATTAAGAATGTATTTTGGGAAATAAAACGTAAATGTTTAAAGGAACTTACATTTATTGTTACATTTATTTATTATTAACAAATGGGACAAATCCCCTGTCCAAATTATACAAAAATGCAACATTATAGAAATATAAAATAATTTTTAGTAATAAAACATAAATGTTTAAAGGAACTAACATTTATTATTACATATATTTATTTATTCATAACAAATGGAACAAATTCACTGTCAAAATTATACAAAAATGGAACATTATAGAAATATACACAAAATTACAGATAAAAATAAAATATACATGAATAAATAGGTACACATTTATAAAAAGTTTCATTTAGCATTTTAGTGCTTCAAATAGTACCTAAACCTATTGATACAAAAGTTTCAGACCATATCTATGTGTGAATCATAATTAGTTCTGCGGTAAGGAACATGGAAATATAAATTCTGACACAGTGAATGGGAGGAATATTAAAACAAACTAGCTGAAGCAATTCAGGAGATTGGTTATTTTATGAACAAGTTTAAAAATAAAGATTAAAAGGTAACACTTTTGATAAGAGAATCCAGATTCAAGAAATTGATCATACCCGAATAAGAATATGGTCTACACAATTTGCAAGAACAGTAGATGCGACAAGTCAGTATAAATCTAATCGACATAAAAAATGTTTTTTAATGCAATTATAACATAATAAGTGTAAATTAGTAGAAGTTGAACAACTAGACAGTAAGTAAACCATGCTGACCAGTATGAAGCTGATTCTTCAGATTTATTGTCAAAAAATCAGTCAGTAAAGCCTCAAAAATTTTAGGAATAGTAGAAAGAATTATAATGGAACGATAATTAGGAATCAATGAGTTAATGGATGAATCAATGGATAAAATCAATAAATAAATTGTGATGAAAAGTGACCCTCAGAGATTTATAAAAAATAAGCCATAGAGGCCTACATAAAAAGAATGCACAATTCCTTAAAAATAAGTTACGATATTCCATCTGGACCAAGACCTTTATTGGTATTAAGACACTGTAAGCATGCTAGAATGTCACAAATTTTAATAGTTAAAGAGTAAATATGGCTGTGACTGATATGGGATCTTTGACTACACTTGTCTACACAGGAGAAAGAAGGATTGTGAATACTGCTAAAGAAATTGGCAAAATAGTTGAAACTGTGGCTCACTAAAAACAGAACCATTCAACTTCCCTTATCCATTCCCATTCTGATTTACCTTACAAGTGTGTGGTCGGCAATTAAAAGCAGACAAGTCAATTGTTGAGTTTTAAAGTTGAAATCATAAGTATGAAAAAGATCAATACTTAATATGGAACTTTGTTTTATTTCAGCAGTAGATACATTTTTAGGTACCTATTTTTAATAAATAAAACAGTCTCAAAAATTGACTGTTCCTTTCTGTGCACCAACCACACAATTTAATCATTACAAAATTAATCATATTTGCTAATGCAACATGCAAATTAAATTTTATTTGCCTCCTCTTTACATCTCAGATATTTCATTATCAAGTTTCAATTTCCTTCTCCATGGCAACGCTGGTCTTGGAGTTTTTCCAGGCAGCATCTGAAAACAAAATTAATGTACTATAATGTAATGTAATAAATTGAACAAATTAATTTCAGATTTAGTTCATTATACTTTGCTTATTGTAAATAAATCATCATTCAAAGGCGTATGATTAAACAACTGAATTTCAAGTGCTGTAGTTTTAATGGATCTCACCTGAACTAGAAGAATACCAACAAAACCATTGGTATTTATTTCTAATGACCAAATGAGCAGTAATTACACTTTGATACTTAAAAAACAAAAATAACAGTGTATAAATAAAATATATACAGCCAACAACAAACCTTCATCTCATATAGCTAAGTGTAGTTCTTAAAGCAATCTCATAGCCAGACCTGAACATTTGTGAAATGGTAAAATTTGCCATCTAAATTACATATAAGACACAGTTAACGATATGCTTCATCGGCTGTATATGGTCACTTAAGTGATAGTGTAAGTTTTTAAATGTTCCTTAGATTGATTTATGTTTAACAGTTACAAACCTTTTAAAATCAGAGCTATATGTGTGTCTTCAAAAGCTTTATATTGCTTTTTCCCTAGCCAACTATATTTTCCTTGAATTTTATTGCAGACCAGCTTCTTATGGCTTCTCCTAACAAATTCGTTTATGGTTTCCTCACCAATTTTGGAAAGCTCATTATCCTAAAATATAAATCAACATGTAACAGTAATCTAACTACCCCACAAACTTGATCATCCATGCTTAATTATTTTAGTTTAAACTATCTAATAAAAAAACAGGCTCTGTTAAAAAATCAATCAAACATTCATTTGCAAATTTTGGTTTCTCATAACCATGGTAAATGTCTATTAAATTTACAATTTTAGGATATATCAACAAATTATACAAACTACGATAAAACTGACTACTAAAACTCTTTTTTAGTGAGATTCCATCAAAATTTACACACATTTCTATAACATTGTTTTATTGTGAAGATAAAAATACGTTTGAAATTTGAATCATATGGATCAGAGTAATTGTTCTCTGGGTGAAGCAAGAAGGGTTCTAGCATCTGAACTTAAATGAGAAAGATCAGGAACTTCTTTATGATTTTTTAATAAATCACCTAGTATTAAAGGACAAAGTCCAGTTGCATAACTTATTAGAAAAATTAAAAACATCTCGATAAGGTTCTCCAGAATTCTCGTTACAACCATATTTAGACCCTTCTTCAGTTTCATTGAAAAAAAAGCTTTGTAAAGTATCATTGGAATGGTCGGCCACGTGGTAATTTGGATTATTTTAGGCACTTAACATGTTAATAAAAAGTTTAAATCGGAAGTATTGTAACCAGAACTACATATTTGAACTGAAACTCTCATCAAAATGATCAGTTAGTGATTCCGAAGAGGTTTGAAGAAGACGGAATATGGGGGTTATTAATATTTTCAACAATATTCTCTACGTTTTTCGTAACCTTCCTCTGTTGATGACGCTTAGAAACAAATCGTTTACTTTTAAACATAAACAATTTTAAGAAAAATTACTTACCTTTTTGTAATAAAATAAAAACCAAATTCGGAAATAACCTAACAAAAATGGTACCAAACCTTTAACAATATACTATCAAAGGAAGCATCAAAAAGACCAATGCACTGTACACTGCTTAAATAGAGTTCTTTTATTTCTTTTATTAAAGCAATAATAATAATAATATTATGATTAAACCAAATTAAACTGTGCCATTTGTTTAAATAGGTATGACATGACAATGACAAAATGACAATATTGACAATTAATATCATCAATCATCACATGTCATATCACATCATTATTTTTCATTATTTTGTCTTTGAAAAGACAAAAGAGACAATTATTCTGTGGAAAAGATTATCAAGATTCATCTTGTCGATAAAAATCATATTTTTACTTATTAGAATTAGCAAACATATATATTATTATCTTGATAACTAGAATAATAAAACAATTGTAACGAATTATCTAGAAATAAAAGATTTTTACACTTTACCTAAAAACAAAAACATGTTTTGGATATATTAAACTATACAATTTTTAATTAATTGTGATTTAACCTTTTCGCTTTTAATTATTTTATTAACGTAAATAATTTTTTATTTTATTGAAATATTTGCTATTTGATCCCATAATTGGTAAATGTCGGATGTCCAGAAAACGTCCGAGTTCGGACGTCCAGGGAACGTCCGAGTATGGACGTCCAGGGAACGTCCGAGTACGGACGTCCAGAGAACGTCCATATTTAGTCCACCCAAAGTACGTCCCACTTCGTACGTCCATAGTACGTCCATTTTACGTCCAGGGACGTCCGGACCAAAACTGGACGTATATTGGACGTCCATAGGACGTCGTGTGTTACTAGGGTATAGCTAAAATATGTACATATAATGTACAAAAATTTGAAGTAGCCTCAATGCTTTTTATTATTTTTAGACCATTTAGTGTACAAAAGATACCACATAGCAACTTGATACTACTGGTGGTGGACACAGTATGTTCGTGTGGCAGCAAACAACTAAGTATTATACCTCAAGAAGTTAGTTATGAATCCAAAAACGGAGGTTGTCTCCATAAACCAAAAGATAGTCTTTATAGAAAACGACCTCCAAAATGTATTAACTATCATCCAGAGGTAAGTAAAATAGTCATAAGGATATTTTTTAATACCTGGAATCCTTAAAAAATAAAATCTCTGGGAAATATAGATAATAGATTATATGTTTTGTACGGGTTTTGTAAATAGTGACCAACATATAGTTTAAATATTACGATTACATGTCACTTTGCTTAAATTATGCTAGATACTTCATTGACACGTTTGTAGGGTAATATTTCCTAGTTTTATCCATTTTGAAATTTTTGAAAATTTTTTTTGAAATTTTCATAATATCATCCACAAGGAGTCGTCGCTATAGAGCAAAAGTCAATTTGCAAAATTTTTTAAGGCTCATATCTGATTTCGCATAGTAACTATAATCTGTTTGAAAGCAGATAATCCACAATTTCATGTCATAAACCCAAGAATGACGAATAATTTCAAAATTATTTGAAGTTTACTTGTCTCAAATATTGCAATAATTTCTAAATAAGAAATAAAATTTCCAAGAAAGAAAGAGGAAACAACAAGATCAAAGTGGCTGCAAGAAGTTGAAGAAGAGTTACAAAACGCAGAAATAAGATACTGAAAACAGAAAACTAGTGACAGGAAAAAAATGGAGAGAGTTCGTTAATAAAATAAGATAATCAAAAGAGATTGATCATTAAAAGTGATATTGTATTGTTATGTGTTTAAATAAAAGGCGTGGTTCTAATTAATTTAAGATCATTTATTTATAATACAGCAGGATAATGTCTTATTAACTAACTCCTAATAACAGCCCTCCCATATATACATATTGTGAGTACTAGAACTATCGGAAGTAGTCCAACTTTATTCGCCTATTACGAACGGTCGCTTCTGCGTACCTTGGTCGCTATCTGAAAGGTTCTCGAACACGCATCGTCGTTCTAAGAGATGAAACCGTTATATGGGTACGTCAAAATGAGCTTTTTTCTTAGATCTGAACGTACCAATCAGCAACTCTATATGTAGACCCAGGATGGTGAAATCTGCAGGACTCTTTAGCTCTCCATAAAACCCTTAATAAGAAGTAACAGTTTACTGTCTTTGAAGGACAAGACTTCATCGGGTTAATGCAACACAGCAAGTTCATGAATGTTGTTCATTCTTAACTTCAGGCGGACGACATATTCTTCGCTTGAAACCTGTTCTTCCGAAGGTCTACAGCCAAAATCTAGATCGCAGGGCAAACGAATTTCACGGCATGAGATACCATGTATCACAAAAATTTATTTAAAAATTCGCTTATAATAGGTATAATATTAAAAACCCTATCGAGCTACATTACAGAACGTTTTCGGAATTAATATTCCATCCTCAGTGCTATCTGGATGTACATGTTTGAAGCCACTAAATATATGGGTAAAAACCCTTTAAATGTTGTTAAATTAACTTTGAGTTACATTTTTTAACTTTATAAATGATGTTTAAGTTACAACAGGAATAGATAAGATGGCAACGTAAGACTCCACTGGAGGTTGCTAGTCCTTGATACTGAGTTGTTATCAACAAGTCATCGAAGACACTGCGCCAAAATTATTGACAAAAACTCAAAACGTAACTACAAAGGACAATAGATAAAAAGTAGAAAGGCGAAAACCGTAAATACGTATTCCTAACTACGTCATCAGTATGATACAGCCAAGTCAGAATAGGAGCAAATTAATTTGGTAAACTTCGGGAGCAATGCGACCAATTGTAGCAATAATGTCAAAACACTCTGTCTTTCAGAGCTACAACTAGACTCTTTCCTTAATAGACATAAGGATTAATTTTCTTTTTTATGTTTTACTGAGCATTACTCCTTCAAAGTTACACGGTATTATAATTCTGAATTAATGTTTGTATTAATTTTTGTTTTGTTATAAACTTTTAAATTTGTTTATATTTTTAGGAAACAGAAATTCATCTTTGTGGAGAGGCATCTGGGATGCCTACTAATGTTGTTGCAGTTTTGATAGGTTTTGCTAATTGCCTTGTCGCTTGTCTATCGTGATTAAATTCATATAAATTCTAGGTTTATTAAATACTGACTATGACGTAATGTACTATGTCACATATAATTTATACTAATTATAAAGTTATAACGTAAAATCATTTGCAAATAGACACATAGTAGGTAAAGTTTTTGTATTGACAAAGTCAAATGGTACTAGTTAAATTTTTAATATAATTTATAAAATAGAGGAGTAATTTTGATGTACTTGTACATATCAAAAGTTGTAGACGGTGATTTTTCGAAATGATATCATATATTTTTGAAAAAACACTTAAAAGTTCCAAATTTTTAAGAACTCCTTACTGTTACTTGATTACTATTTTAGTGATATGTGGAAGTAATGTATTTCTGTACAAGCATTACAATAAAAATACCATATCGCGTTATTCAGTACGTATGAATTAGTAGCTAGTTCGCTTGTTAACATTTATTTGAATTTCACATATCTAAAAAAGTGAATCTTCGTGTCACACGAGTGGCAATTATCTACCATCTCCAAGGATTCAACAGAACCCACCATCGATTCAACATCACGCAGGATATTAGCAATCAAAACGATGTCGTCTGCAAGACTTAGATGGCTAAGATCTTATAGGTCTTTGTTCTGCCAGTTTATTTTACTGAATATTTTTTCTAGAATTGCAGTGAAGAGCTTTGGTAATATTGCGTCCCCTTGTCGGACGCCTCTGGTAGTGAGAAATTCTTGAGTGTTTTCATAAATTTTTACCTTAGCTTCTGCTTGTCTGTATATAATTGCTTAAGTTTCTATGTATGGTTTGTCAATGCCTTGGTTATATAGAATCGAAAGCCTTCTCGAAATCTATGAAGGTTAATACTAACGGTACTTCATATTTTTTAGCCCTACTCATTAGGTATTGAAGCATATGGATACGATTTAGCGTACTGAATCAACTTTTGAAGCCAGCTTGCTCTCTTGAATATGCAGCATATAATGCATTTGTTAAGCTGTTGTTGATGACCTTTGTGAGTGTCTCGTATATGCTTGGTAGTAGACTTATAGGTCTGTAGTTTTTGATATCCTCTTTGCTACGTTTCTAACGAATGAGAAATATGTTTGCTGTCTTCCAGTGATCTGGTATGCATCTTGCTCTTAGGCAGTTCGTAAATATGCTTGCTAAGATTTTCCAGGTTTTATTGCCAGCGTATTTAAGCAGTTCCACTGTTATGCCATCTCTTCCAGCTGCTTTACCGCTTTTTGTTTTTGTAATTGTCGATTCTACTCCCTCCGGAAGGACTTCTGATACATTTTCTTGGTCACTGATTGCTTCTTTAAGAGTTTCAGGGGCTTTGTATAGTTTACTGTATAATTTAGTCAGGAGATATATTATTTTATTTCCGTCTGTAATTCTGGTGTTTTCGTTTGTTAGAATAAAAATTTGTTTTTATTTTCAATGATTAATGCTTTTCTTGTTTTCTTATAGTTTTTTATGCTTTCGATTGCATTTTCTATCAGTCTTTCACTATATTTTCTTATGTCTTATTTCAATACTTTTCCTTATTGTCTTACAAAGTTCTGTGTACTGTATTCTCTGTATGTTGTTACTTACTTTCCACTTGTCTTCTTTGTTTTAGCATTATTTTGGTTTTATTAGACAATTTACTATGCTCGTTTTTTTTGCGGGCATTGCATTTTTCCCATTTATTGAGAGCTGTAGATTTGGTCATGTAATATTTTATCAATTGTCCTTTGGTAGTGATCTGAGTTTTCTTTTAGATTATTAACATGTATTTATAAAGGTTACTGTTCGTTTTTTGATTAATCTTATTCTTTCTAGTTTCAGATCTAGAACAATTTTTGCTCTGATTAGTCTATGGTAGCTGCCTGTTTGAAATTTATTTATTACACTTACATCTTTTATTGTAGCAAACTTGTTGGTTAGAATGAAGTCAATTTCGTTCTTAGTGGTTTCATTTGATGCTGCACAAGTCCATTTTCTGTTCGATTTTTTTAAAGAATGTATTTGCAACAGATATATTTTTCCCATGACTTGTTAAACTCACCAATTAAATAGTTGAAGTAACTTTTATTGTTATTTAATGCTTTAGTTATGTTACTCTAGAGTTCCTCTATTTCTTCGTTAGTGTGAGTAATAGTTGGTGGTCTATTTGTATAATTTTATATTGTCTCTGTTTGATAGTTGTAAGGTTACTCTACTACTAAGGCTACTCTATCCGAGATATTAGTTATTTCTACTACTCTTTGTTTCCATTTCTTGTTAATTAGGAATCCAATACCGCCTGTAATGTTCGTTCATGTTCCTTGTTGGTAGAATGTGTTCCCTGGTGCTAATTCCAATAGCTCTTCATATTTGCGTCTTACTTCGCCGATTCCTATGACGTCACATTTTATATTTTCAGTTTCTTTTTCCACTTCATAAGTCTGAAGTGATTTGATAGCGAGTGGCAGTGATATATCCCTCGTTTCATACTTTAACAAAAACTTGCCAAGTCAAGAAAGATATTGACAAATTTTCTTCTATTTTTCTTTTTTTTTTACTTGATGGTATCTATTTCACTATCTCTCCCGAGAAAGAGAGAATACTTTGTGATGTTCTGATTTTTAAATAAATCTATTTCCTCCTTCAAAATCTGACATACAATTAAAGGAAAATCACCCGTCAAATGAGATGGATTTAAGATAAAGAACTATTTTAATCAAACCATAAAATTTAAATTTGAATCTGGAATTTTTCTGTCAAAGAACACACCATCTGTATCCTCTCATTTCCTCATGTATCCTCTCTATATGTATTCTTTTATTCCCGTATGTTCTAGTGCGGCTATGTAATCTTCATTACCTAAACAAATTTGTCAGTTTTACAGTTCATATTTTTCTAGGAACTTCCACATCTGGTCTCTATTTACTCGGTCCAAAACTCTTTCAAATCTACCGAATATGCAATTATATCCTTTTACGAGTTATGGTTCTTATTCTAGGATGATTCTTAATGTATAGATATGATCTATGGTTGAGAGTTTCTCCCGGAATCCCATTTTGTTTTCGCATTACTAACAATAAATATATATTTCGAACTGTTGAGATGATAATAACAGAAAGGAGACATGAAAAATAAAAAAATAAACTAACAGAGTATTTGAAATATAGAGATGATCAAATTAAAAGTGATGTAAGCATATTAAAGAAAAATTTGTATGACAGTTATATATGACTAATACACAAAATGAATAAAATAAAATAAAAAATGGACCATCTATACATAACAGTAGATTACGAGTAGTCAAAACATAACAAATAAAATCGTTAAGTGACTTCGGAAGCTTTTCGGGCTTAGAAGAAGATGTGGAGAAGAGTTCTTCTTCTCGTGCCACTCCTAGCGGAGATTGGAAATCATCATGGCCACTGCGACTTTGTTAGCAGCGCGCCTGAAAAGTTCAATCGAACTACACCCGAACCATTCACGTGGATTACGAAGCCACGATATTTTTCTTCTTCCCACACTTCTTTTGCCCTTAATTTTGCCCTGCATGATGTTTCTTAAAAGTTCGTACTTTTCACCTCTCACAATGTGCCCCAAGTATTCCATCTTTCTAGTTTTTATCTCATTTAGAATTTCGCATCTTTTGTTTAAAGTTTGGAGTACTTGCGTGTTAGTGACGCGGTCCATCCATGATATTCTGAGAATGCGCCTATAGCACCACATCTCGAAAGCTTCGATGATTTTTATGGTCAACTTTTTTAGTGTCCAAGCCTCAACTCCATATAACAGGGTAGAAAAGACGTAACACCGCAGCATTCGTATTCGTAACTTTGAATAGAGAAGAGTTAGAATTTACCAATAGTTTTCCGATTGGGTCTTCTCTTTTTTGAATGACTTTTCTTTGAGTCCCTCTCAATATTTAACTAAACTTGAAGGTAATTCTTGTTGTGGATAAGCTTTTAGTCACTGCAGTCCAACCAACAGCCGGAGGGAATTCATGCACAACAACTTTTAATTCAAAGATTGTACGGCCTATTCGAGTAATCACTAGCTTTCTTATCTGTTTATGTTCTCTGGATGCCTTTGATGTTTTACAAAAATTAAATATGGAAAATTGTAAGGTTTATAACAATGACAACAAAAATCTAGAAGAAAATTATTAGAATATATAAAATTCCGTATCTGCATCGTTATTGTCATAACAATAGAGCCTATATTGGATAAAGATTTAAATCATTTGTGATTTGGTTATGACTATAACGGAAATGAATATATAAAAGAATAGGTGGATATTTGCCACTTGTGTGATGGGGTCTAAGGGTTGATCGTCTCGGGTCGTTGCGTTGTATGAGTCTTCTCATATAGCAGACAATAATCGCTTGTTGGAAATGTCTCTTTCTCTCTTTATATGCGTGTACATTGTACATAATATTACCTAAATATGAATAGGAAATGTAAAATTTATATCTTTTAAAATTTTTCTAAACTTTTATGTAGGTCATTTAGTATGAAATAGCCTATAGCATAATTTTATACGTTAAAAATTTGTTTGTTATTAAAAGAACCTACAGAAATAAAATAACATAAATAAATTGTATATTTTGAACGTTAATAGATAAGAATGTCTGTGTTAATATACAAAGTGTTTTAAAAATATTCTTAACTGTCAATATAAAACTAGAAAACCCACAACGTTTGCTTATTAATAAGATCTTTTATCATCGTTTTTATACAATTGTTTTTATACTAACTATCTAATTATTTTAATCGATTATTTCGAATTTGTTCTAGCATAATGTAGTTGCAACTGCCTAAAAGAATTTTCTATACTTGAACTTGCCTCGAATGCATATCAGTTACAAAGACTGTTTTAAGATATGAAACACCTAATCTGTGTTCATACCACTGAAATCTGGTCTCAGTTGACCAATTATCAAATCTTTAATTTCTTAAATTACTAAATGATACTTAAATTCTAAGAGCTTAACCCTATGGTGTTCTCTTATACACTTTACACTAACTCAAATGGTTTTCTTC